ACAATAGGACATTGGTCACTCCTGAGAAAATTCCAAATTGGAATGCGTAGAACAAATTTTTCAAAATATTATTTTTAAAAATTGGAACAAAAACATAATGCTATATAACAACAAAAATTAAATGATGGTAAATATAAAATTTTACACAAATATAAGAATTTAAGATATAACTTAATACCAATTAATAAAACTTAATTTATGATGGCTCTCCTCAGATTTTTGTAAAATATTTGCTTTTGAAAAAGTATTTTTGTGTGTGTTGTTTGTTGTTCTTGATGTTATTTAGCATTGTTTTTTTTCCAATTTTTAAAAATATTTTGAAGAATTTGTTCTATGTATTCCAATTTGGAATTTTGTTAATTTAAAGACCTGAGGCAAACTTGATCAAGGTCAAAAACATTTGTCAAAAGTTTTTTATTAAAACTTTTTGTTACCAGACTTTAAAGGTTGTTTACAGTTTCATTTTTAAACTATTGTATAATAATTAAAAAAAATTAACTTCAAATCTTTGTTACAAATTTTTAAGTAAAAGTTTTTATTAAAAGGTACATTCCCAATTGATACTACCAAAACAAGATTACAAGTACAAGGGCAAAGAAGTGATGCTCGTTATGCAGAACTTAAGTATAGAGGCATGTTTCATGCTTTAATACGTATTACTAAAGAAGAAGGTTTACAAGCTCTATATTCAGGGTAAAATAAGTTTTATTATTCTGTTATTTCAATTAGTATTTGAATTATTGAATTAAATTTTAATTTATATAAATATAGTCTTATATCTTAATACTTCATGTATTTATTGACTTAATTTAGAATTAATATACTATTATTATTAGTAGTGATAAGAGTTTTATTATTATAGAAAGTAAAGAGCCTAAAGTTAATCTAAAATCTTTGTTAATCAGATTATTGTTAAAATTGAAATATTATAAAAACTATTACATTAAATAATAGTTTTTATAATTGTTTCTGTAAAATATATGATTTATTAAATAAATATAAACTAGTTTGTTTGATTTTAATCTGTTTAAAATTATATTTTAACATGTTTGAAATAGCATAATCTTACTTAAGAAAATACTTAAAAATAATGAAATAAAAAGAAATTATTAGTGAGTTGTGTTATTTATATTTTATAAATGTTATGTTGTATTTTTAATTTAATTATATAAACTTTTAATTTTTTACAAGATTTAACATAAATTATTATTTATTAATTAATTTCATGTTTGCTTTCTTTTTTCTAATATAATTTTAGTTTGTTGCTTTGATTAATTGTGCTTGATGTCTTAAATGTTTCATGTTGCATTAATTTTATGATATTAGCATCAAAATTTAACAGTAGTTTTAAAAAATTAAAATGTATAACTATTTATCCAAATCTAATGTTTGTTTTATTCTAAAAATTTTTTTATAAATAATTTAATAAATGCATAATTTAAATAATGCATGATCGTTAAAATTGAAAAAAAATTCATAAAATTAGGATTATTATATTTAGAGATGATGTTGAAGTTTAGTTGATTATAAGTTAGTTTCCTCCTTTCTTCATTCTTATTAATTTTAGAGTAAAACTAAAATATTACATATATGGTAAAACTCCAGTTTTCCAAAGTAATTGGGACCTTGGGCCATTCGGATATGCAGAATAGTCGGATAATTGTATTTTTGCTTAAAAAGTGTTTTTTTTTTTCCCCTTACCCAAACACCCATTATGTACATATGTATATAATTATATGCAAATAAAACATTAAATGTGGAAATGTACCTTCAAATGAAAATAGTTTATTTTCTATGTATATACAGTACAGATATATATATTCATGCATCCCTATTTATTTTTAAAGTCTGAGGGCAATTCAGATAATGTGTCCAGATAATTGGAGTTTTATTGTATAAAAATGTAAATACTCCAATTTATCAATTGAGACCAAAATTTTATCAGATTCTTAACTGGAATATTTTGCTTAAACTGTTATTAAGGTTTAGGAAAATTTGTCATTGAGATAGTATATATTTGGTCTATTTATAACTGTAATTATTAAATAATTTAGATTTACTTAATTATGGTAATAATTTAGAAACAACTAGAAAAAAGTCCACTCAGAGCAGAAACTCAGTTCTGAACTTTTTTCTGGGCATTGCTAAATTAATTAAAAATTAAGTAAATTGCTTAATTAATAATAGACAGTGTAATAATAATAGGCATAATTAATTAATTATAGGCAGGTACTTTATTTTATTGACAAGTTACTTTAATTCTTAAGTTTACTAGTAGTTTGAAAACAGCATAATAAAGTTTTAGTTGTTGTTTGATGTATAATGTTACATTATAAGCAATCAGATTGCTTTAAATGAATTCTAACATATGATTAAAGATACATACACTATATGCAGTTTATTATAACATTTTACTTATTTAAAGCATGGTGATTTATTAATTATATACAAATTTTTTAATTTTTTGTAACTAAGTAAAAATAACAAAATAAATTTTTTATATAAATGTTTATATTTCAAAACATTAAATATATTTCTGGCTTAAAATTTTTTTGTTTTAAGATATTTTTAATGATAAATTCAAATCTGTATCTAATTTTTTCCAGTCTATATTAATATTGTAAATATAGCAAAATTTAAGAAATTATCATATATATTTCTAACGTAAAAATTTACATGATATACATTTAACATATTCAATTTTAGATTTGGATAAATATAGTCATTTTTTAATATATTTTAAAATTTTTTATTGAATTAAAAAATTTTTTAATTATCAAAAAATTCTAATATAAATAATTTATAGTTATTTTACAGAAGTAATTACAAATGTTCAGAATAATTAAATATTTTTTTGATTATTTAACTATGAATAAAGTACAAATGCTTGATTAAAAAATTATGTTAAGCTTATGTCTATAATATCTGTTAAACTGTTTATAATTTTATATCTGTATATTTTAAAAATACTTGAATATTCCCTATTATTCAGCTATGATAGGGAGCTGTTTTTGATGAGAAGAGCTGAAATGTAGAAAAATTGTAAATCATGATCATATATATCAACTTGATTTCAGGAAAGTAAGAATGCAATCTAGCAACAAGAGTAGGAATGAAAGCAACTGAATGATTTGACAGGAAAAGTGGATTTATCTTCTCTTTACTAGAATTTAATACAATAATGTTGTTGTTGAATTCATTGTTCAGTTATTCATTATAAAATTACTAATGAGATTTTAATCTTATATATTGCTATAAGATCTGAGATATTTTAGATAGAAAACCAAAGGTACATTCCCAATTGATACTACCAAAACAAGATTACAAGTACAAGGGCAAAGAAGTGATGCTCGTTATGCAGAACTTAAGTATAGAGGCATGTTTCATGCTTTAATACGTATTACTAAAGAAGAAGGTTTACAAGCTCTATATTCAGGGTAAAATAAGTTTTATTATTCTGTTATTTCAATTAGTATTTGAATTATTGAATTAAATTTTAATTTATATAAATATAGTCTTATATCTTAATACTTCATGTATTTATTGACTTAATTTAGAATTAATATACTATTATTATTAGTAGTGATAAGAGTTTTATTATTATAGAAAGTAAAGAGCCTAAAGTTAATCTAAAATCTTTGTTAATCAGATTATTGTTAAAATTGAAATATTATAAAAACTATTACATTAAATAANATATATATACTACTTTAACAATAAAATATAATATAAAAGTATTGATAGAATAAATAAAAAGAAAGGAATTGTAACATTATAAGTAAATACATTTTATTAGATGTATTTAACTAAAAAGTAATTACATTTACAAATTATTAGATGGGCAACTGTTTACATAATATTTTTCAGTAAAACAAAATAAACAAAGAACTTGTTGACATTGTGCACATTTAACAAATCAAAGATTTTGGAAATTATTCTTAACACAATTTAAACTGTCAGTGTTTAAAAAAGGAAAACAAACTTGTTTCACATTTAATAGTTCACATTTTTCATGTTAAAGTCCAGAAGCAAACCATGCAAATTTAATCAAATTATTAAATATTGGCGCAGATAATTGATGATGAAGAATCGAATGTAATTTTATTATGTCATTTCTAGTTGCTCAAAACAATTTCATTGAAGAATCATTACAAAATAGTTGTATAGCATTTAAAATTTCTTTAGCTAAAAATTTTAATTGTCTATGAAATCCAACATTTAAAGGTTGCCATATAGAAATACACTACACTTTGGTGGAATAATTAGTACTTCACATGAATTTTGATTTATAGATATTTGAAATACTGTATTATAAATATTAATATTTGTTTGTCCACTCCATGAGTCAATTATTAATAATGAGTTTTCTGTTATATTTGAAGATAATACATCTTTTACATAGTTTGTAATAATTGCTGTAGATAATTTGTCAGATGAGCAAGTAAGCCGTAACAGTAACATTTGGGGCATTAAACAGCAATCTTTGAACTCCAAGTCCAAAGGTTCCATGAACCTCTTGTAAGCAAATAAATGCATTACCTACAACTTGTCTGTTAGCATTAATTAAATGTTGAACAGTGTAGGAATGCATAACTTTATTACTTGGAGAATGTGCAAATCCAATAGTATTTTTTTTTTCTCCTTTATATGAAGGTGTTCTTGGTGAAATCATTTTGTACGAAATGATTTCACACAGATCCATATTGAATATAAAGTTACATGAGTAAGATGGAAAAAAATTTTTTACTGTTGCTTGAAATTGTGCACTTTTATTAAAATATTTTTTTCATTTACTATTTTTGTTTTATTTACAAGTTTTGTAATTTTTCGAGATACTAATCTGTATTCTTTCTTAAATTTAGCAACTCAGGAATCACTAGCTGTAAACTTAATTGAACTATTCAGCTCAAGAAATTTCTGTAATGCCCATATTTTTAATTGATTACCCTTAACAATTTTATAGCTGCCTCGATCTTTGTCAAACATTTGTTTAGTATGTTCTTTAATGATTTTTAATGTTTCAATTCTATGTTTTTGAAATTGAAATTGTTTTTCCCATTTATATAAACCACTAAAATGTTTTAATTCTTTAGCTCCTTTTCGCTGTAATGTGCATAATTTTCATTTTGGATGTTTCTTATGTAAGTTAAGAATTTCTTCTTTTTGTTTTGTTAAGATTATATTCTTATCAGCTTTTTCATCATATGAATATCCAGATTCACAAACATTGTCTGCGTTAGCAACTTCTTGAAGCAGACAAGTGGTTTTTTTCCTATCTGAAATATCTTTAATCAAATTATTATCTTCCATCTGACAAAACTCTTTGTCATCGTTACTTACATAATTACTTAAAATATCGCTAAATGCATTTTAGCTACCTGTTTATCAAGGTCCAAAATAATAGGCCTACAAATCTCTTCTGTAGGCCAGACATTATCACATAAACGTTTAAATTCTGCTATAATATTTTGAATATTTACATTTAAGTCTTCTCCCATTTTTGAAAATTCTAGAATTTATTCTAAATGTAATATAGTCATCTTCTTTCACGACCTTTTCACTACTAAAAATTTGCATATTTGTATTAAACTAATATAAATTAGTAAGACATTTGATTGCTATTAACTCTAATAGTTTTAGTAAATATTACAAATTTAATATAGAGTTTGTATACTTTTAACGTAATTATTAACTAAATTTTATTAATATTTGTTTAAAGACACTCCAACAGTTCCCTTCTTAGTGTGAAAAAATCTAAAATCTATCAATATTGTTCAAATTCAACTACAAACATTGCAATTCTCATTTCATTATTAATGGACATTTTGTTTGTTGACATTTTTGTCTTTTAGATGAATTACTTTATGCTAAATTATGGCACAAAGTATTAAAAATAGGACAAGTAATTGTTGTGTTGTCAGATTTCAACAATTCATAAATGTTACTCTAAAGCAACTTTTTGTTAATCTGATAGTTTTTTCCATAGAACCTATAATAGTAAAAACAAGGTTAAGAAAGACAGCTTTTATCTTGTTTTCTCTTTTAAGAAGGCCAATTTAGCAAGGAAAGCTGCACATTGTGAATATTTCTAATTAGACTGAGACTTTGTTACTTTCCAGTTTTAAACTTTTGTCATATATGCTACTTTCAATGTGAACAATATTTTAATACTTTAAATCTCTTGTTATTAAAAGATTTTGGTCATACAATTTGATAAATGCATTGTCCAAAGTAATATAATTCTTTCTAACCTGTTACCGGTATGTCTACTAACTCTTACCGATCCAAAACAAACCAAAACTAACGTTTTCGAACCCCTATAACGGTTCTTCTTCAGGCTTTTTCGAATCTCTGATGAAAAATGCAGCTTGTAAAAACTTTAAATTCAAAATATGTAAGTTCGAATGCACGTTTCCCGTTTCCGTCATTGTATGTCATGCGCAGTTGACTCCAAAACGGGCTATCATAAATTACCATTCATAAACGCTAGCCACGCTGTTGATAACGTAATCTCTTCTTTATAATTGATGCATTGATTATCCTTAAGGTTAGCTAAGTATATGCTGGCTGCCTCTAGCCATCTGATATGGTGTACGTGCCGTGTGGTGTGAATAATTCTTGTATTCTTAAATTTGGTGTCTATATCCGGATCAGAGGCATATACTGCTAGGGCCGTCGTGCTCCTTTATTTCTGAATATCAGCAGCATGTTTTTTGAGTCTAACCTCTAAGGATCGTTTGGTGGAGACATAATTAATAAATGTCTTTATATGTGTTATAAAATATGTTTTAATTGGGGAAATTGTTTCAAAAGTTGCAATTGGAAAGAAATGTGATTACTGAATGTGCTAGTCAAATGATCTTCATGATGCGATTGTTATATAAATTAGAAATACTATCGTTGAATGATATTAACTATTGTTGTTCTTAATAGCCTAGTCATTTGCCTGACAATTTTTGACAATGTAGTCATGAGAGAGAGAGTGTGTGTATGTTTGTTTATCATAATAATGGTTAGTTTTGAAGAATATGGAATATCTGTAATGTTAAAGTTTTATTCTTGGCATTGTGTTTTGTTGTTTAATAAATTTATTTTTCTATACTAATATTATAAAGAGGTAATGTTTGTAAGTTTGTTTGCAGCAGGTAATCTCCGAAACTACTCATCCGATTTCAAAAATTCTTTCACCAATATTTAGAATGGAACCTCAGGGTGGACATAGGCTGTATATTATTCCGTTAAACATTCATATAAATTAAAATATATAATCTAGGTTAAAGCTTTTATGTCCAACAGATGGCACTACGAGTACGACGCCCTAAGTTTGCTTTTCTGTGAAAATGAACTAAAGCAGATCATCTTCTATCTATCTATATAAATAAAAATGTAATGTTCGTTTGTTCCTACCGATTCCTTTGAAATTTTGACACAACGCTGCATTCGAATACGCATGTGTTTTATATAATATACATGTCGAAATCCTCCCGGGAGATGGACAGGATTAAGGCTTACCGTAAAGAACTCTGCTTCTATTTATACTATTTTAGATGCGGTTTTTTATGTTTTTGATTGCATTTTAATAGGGTACATCAACAGAATATACACTACAAAGGGATTTTTCGATATTCCCCCGTGGGGGAGAGGGACAGGATTAAGGCTTACTGTGAAGAATTTGGCTTCTATTATACTATTTCAGATGCGGTTTTTTGCGTTTTTGATTGCGTTTTAATAGGGTACATCAAGAGAATGTACACTAAGAAGAGATTTTTCGAAAAATTTCCCCCTACGGGGAAAGTGTTATACATTTATAATAGATACATTTTGAGCCACAACAACATGTGGCGGGGTCTGCTAGTATTCAATAAAATGACAAGCATATTGAACTTTATTATATTATCACCAAGAATAAGATCAATAAAAATTTTATTTGGATATTCTTTTCATACAAACTGAATGTCTTCAAATCAATCAAATTCTTATTCAGTGTACAAGCATAAATATAAAATACAAATTTTAACGAAGTTCAAAAAAGGATAAAAATAATACAATGCACTTGAGTAAATATCTTAAAATATAAATTGCAAAAAAATAAATCTGTTTTTAAAGAATTATTTAAAATCATTTATTAATAATTAATATAGTAATATAAAAATGAATCTTTAAATAAATCTCAGAGTACTTCTGATTTTATTAACTATTTAATTGAAAATTTTAATTAAAAGTTAAAATATAATAAAAGTAAATAAAAGATCATAAAACTTGCCATGATATATAGTGGATTTTCAGAATCTAAATTCCGTTTCTTTAAATGATAAAACCAAATAACTTGTATCCTCTTTCTAAATTAATATCTTTTAAATTAAAGCAAAGCTTAAAATTTTTATTGTAGTCTCTGATTAAGGGGAATTAGCAATAGCTTATTGAGTTACTGATAATTTCTAAGCCTGCATTATACTATATAAACTTTTGTATGAATAATAGAGATTTTTGGAATTTGAATGAAAATGCAGGTATTTATAATTGTTTCCCAACAGATTCTATATATGAAATACATTTTAAAAATCATAATACAGCATTGTTATGCAGGAGCAATTGAAAAATCTTTAAAGAAAAAAGAGGGTCATAGAATTAAAAATTATTAAATATATTAAAACAAGTAAAAGAAAATATAAAGCAATTTTTAGCAATAAGTGAGAACTTTGAATTGAAATGAGATGAGATTAAAGTCATACATTTTCTGTGAGATATGCTAAAATATTGTTTCATTTCTGTAAAAATTTTTCTTAACTTACTTTTTATTAAAATTTTTAACATTTTATAATTAAAAATTATATAAAATTATTTAATTTTATATAATTTAAATTCAAGTATATTTGAATGTTTCAATTTTTGCAACAAAATAATGCTTTTATTTATTCATTCATATTCTACTAAATAATAGAAAATTTCTAGTTATTTCAAAGTAGTTGTGAAAGTTGTCCTACTGAAAAATCTCTGAAGAATCATAAGAGGATGTCTGTAGTTATAAGATACATTAGTTTAACAGTTGCTGATTTAAAATACAGTAGAGCCTCGATTATCCGATCCCCGATTAACCGACGCCTCGGTTAACTGTCCGTCCTAGTCGGCAAATTTCAAATGTCCGCTAGTGATGTGGCGCTACAATGTTTGGCTATGTCTTGGCTATTTTAATATTATTTTTACGTGTTTTAGCTGGCAACACTGGATTGACCATGAAAGGGAGCCAGTATTTAAACGAGGCTTAATTTTATAATTTTTAACGATACAATAGCGACGATTATTATTTTAAAAAATTTTTGTTAGGCTTAACATCGATGAAAATTCAACGCGAAGTAGGTTAATAGCGATATACTAATATACTAATTACATGGGATATAATAATATACTACACTAATAATGAATTTTTTCATACTTTTCGGTTATCCGACTTTTCAATTATCTGACCATCCCCAGTCCCCAATTGAGTTGGATAATCGAGGCTCTACTGTAGTCAGTAAAAAAATTAAATTTGTGTTGTGAAATCCTCAAATCTACTTCTATCAATGAATTATAGTTTTGTCAAATACAGAATATCAGTTAAAAAATATTTCACAAATTAATTATTTATTATTTTAAATTTTTAGCCAAATTTGTTTCAAAGTTTTGCTTAAATTTATCAAAGAAAAATTGTACTTTTTTTAAGACATATACAATAGGACATTGGTCACTCCAGGAAGGTGGTCATGTCTATAACCTTCTTAGAGTGACCAATTTCATTTGGTCTGAAATTTACTCAATAGATTTTAGGGATACTTTTCTCTGTATAGTGACCACCTGCTTATTGTGTAATGTGACCAATGTTAGATCTGGTTTTCCTCAAATGTAACCTGTTACAGTGCCTACTTTACAGAAAAAAAAAGCTGATGGGTTATGAGTTTTTGGGTTACTGGCAAATCATGTGGATGCTTTAATATTGTAATACAAAGCTAACATGAGAAACTAAATTCAATTCATATTTCACCAAAAATGTTAAATAAATATTTTAAAAACTGAAAAATGAGAAGTAATTTCATTACCTCTGAAATTGCTTTTATATTCTTTTTTAGGTCAACATCAAACTTTCTGGGCACTAGTGATTATAAATTTTGGGCTGGATTTTATAATTGTTTAAGCTATAAAAATCTTAGATGTCTAGCAACTTGTTCAGGCAGAATTTAGAAAACTCCAGAAATACATCATTTTCTAATGAACTGAGTTTCTCTCCTATTTCTCAAACATAAGTGTATTCTGTAGTTTTGTATGTTTTATTCATTATTGAGGGTATTTAAAATCTGTTCATCTATAGTTCTGCAGCCCTCAATTATGGCTCAAACCAAGCCCTACAGAGAACTTTCTCTGAAAGAAAAAGTAGGAATATAAAGTTTCTTGAATTCAATAATCAGCAAAAAACAGCAGTTCATTATGTGTTAAAAACATTCATATATGAAAGGCAGAATACCATGAATATTATTAACACAATAAAAATGGAGACTTCTAGAAAAGTAAGAAAGACAGCAAATTTTGAGATAAGTGATGCTGTTCTGAAATGGTTTCAGTGAAAGCATCACATGAATGCTCATGTCTGGCTCAATTCTACAGGAAATAGCATTCACATTTGCAGAGAAGCTTCATATTCAGAACTTTAATGTATCAAATGGCTCTCTTGAATCATTTAAGCAAAAACATGTCATTTTAGAGAAAATACTGTGTGGAGAATCAAATGATGTAGATGACTTAACAATGGAAAACTTCAAAGAGAGGATATCTCAATTTATATAGTTTTTGACATAATTAATTAATGTGTATTCTCCTATATAAATCCACAGTTGTCAATGTTTATAGAAATAAACTCACAAAACCTACAAAACAATGTGTCATGGGATTTGTTTGTCATAATGTATGTATTCTCCATATAGGGACCATTTATCTTGGTCCCAGGGTGGGTCACCTTAAGCAGGTTCCACCATTTATCATTCATTCCAAAATTTAATTTTTAAAAATAGAATATATTTTTTCTGTTTCATAACTAAAGAATTATTATTTAAACTTTTAAGAGATATTTTGAATTAAGATTGCATGGATATTTATTCATTTATTTACCTTATTAAAATATTTTGCTTATTTAATATAATTTCATTATTTTGATACAACATGTAAAAGTTATCTTTTCTGAAAATTATGACTAAAATTATTCTGAATATTTGATTACCTCTTATGTAAGTTTGTATTTAAATATTAAAAAAATTCATTGCCAAATTATGTTTAAAATTCTTATGTAATATCAAATGAAAACTATTTGTTAATATCAATTTAACTTTTTGAGGTGCTCTAACTTTTTTTGATTCTCAGATGACTACAAATGTCACTTCAACTGGAATTCAGAATTCTTCCTTGTTAATATGCTTGTTATATTTAAGCATCATTCATTGGCAGAAGTTGGAAGCTACAATATCGTTGGTAAATTAAATAAAAGCAAAATTATTCACTCATACAGATTTATCACTAATATATCAAAATTTTAATAAACATATTTAGTATAAAATGACAAAAAATTGATGTCTGAAATTATAATTTTTTTAATTGAAATATATTTAAATTAATAAATTTCAGATATCAAATTTTTGAATTTGTATTCTTTTTGTTTAACATTTATTATACCAAATGTAAATATTAATAATAACTAAAATAACTGAGTTATACTTTAAATTGATTTGGCTAACAATAACAACAGCCAAATTACTTAATCATAAAACATAACCTGATAATTTTGGCAATTATTAACAATTATATTTGGTATAATTAGATGATGAATTATATATTATTAATTTGAAAATTCAATTACAATAAAAAAATCTATTGAATATTCATTACAAACAAAACAATACATATTTATAAATATTAACCAATGCTGGAATTTTACAAAAGCATATGATTATAAAATATATTTTTGAATATATTAATTATTATGCTGTTAATATTTATTATATTGTCATAATTGTTGAATTCCTTTTATTAATAATTGAAAATACTCTGATTTATAAGCCCTCTTATCTATATACAGAAGATGTTGGAATGTAATTTAACTTAATGTTTTCTTCCATAACTTTATTGTTATGACATTTTATGAAGACATTATTTGGCATAAGAAATGAAGACAAAAATATTCTAAATGCAATAAAATGATTATGCTGTTGCAATTCTAACTTTTAAATTTTTTAGTTAATAATTTTAATTTTGTTAAAAACTATATTGCCACAGAATTAATAGAGCCAATATATTAAACTTATTTGATACTTGTTATACAGATAATTTTTTTTAAACACTAATATGTATACCAAGTATCAAACAGGAATCTACTTGTCTCAAAGGCTAGAAAGCATTTCATTTTATTCATATTTTTATTTTATTGTTGATTCCAGTTTGTTTGAATTGATGACATGCATTAATTTATATATTATTATTACTACAAGCTTTTGGCATTAATTGTGCTAAACTTCTTGAGAATAATGAACAAAAAGCAATTAATTCCAAAATGAAATTGTATATTAGGCAGCTTTCAAAGAAGATATTTCAACATTTGCATAATAATATCAAAGATAATGTGTTATAGTTTTTTTATCTGTAAATTCATTATTGTGATATTTTTATCTTTTGATTAGCATTTAAATTTGATTGTTTTTGCACTAAATAGATCTTTTTAATTATGAAAATTTATGTATTTGACTATGCCAAATTTAGGTATTTTTAAATCAAAATCTTTTCCTGACTTTTTTACAAAGGGCTATTTGTTCTGTAGAAAGTATTTCATTTTATTCATATTGTAAAATAAGCATTTTTATTACTTAATCATTAAAGTTAGAAATTGTAATTAATATAACTATTCAAATTGAAAGTATTCAATTCATTTTTGTCATCATATTTAATGAATTTAAGAATATTTTATGAGGCCTAGGCTTACAGCCAAGAGCTGTAGAATCCTAAGATGAAAGAATCTTTCTTTGGAGATGTTCTAATTAAGAAATAATGTTTCATGAATGTAATTTATTGAACATTGCTATTGTTTATATTAAAATTATATTTTAAAATTCTTTACGAAAACTAGTTTGAAATTTTGATATTGTAATATAAAATTCTAGAATTATTTTAAATATGGCTAAAGTTCATTAACCAGTATCTTTTCTATGTATGATTATTGGTAAAATATAATTATCTTCTGGCTAATGAGATTTATTTAATTTATCTCTAATGTAATTCTTAGGAAGATGTGAAATTGTCATTTAATATTTCATAGTCACTTTTAATTTTTATTCATATTTGTAATATATTTATAAATAATTTGTAACTATAATCTAATCTTTTTAATTAAAATATTATAGAGAATCCAAAAAAACTCAAATTATCAAAAATTTGAATTCTCTTTTGAAAATTAAACTAGTTAATTTCAAGTTTCTAGTGTTTGTCAGAATTCTATAGTCTTTACTGATAATGCTTTTCCTCCATTTTAATTCCTTCAATGTTTTACCTAAAGATAAACTTGTATAAACTTTATACTTAAACATCATTAAAGCATAGATAAATAACTCTACTATCTACATTCAGATGCCAATAAAAATGTGAAACACATGTGACAATTTTTCCCATGCTCCAATTTACACTTTACACTTTAAACATTAAAGAAATCTCAAAAATGTGCACATTTTTTAAAGCAGTAGATCACATGCTACTTTCTCTTTTCAAGCTTCATTTTCAAATTATCAGATATACTAACATCAAATAAATATGGTATTGATTAATCTGGTGATATTTGGTTATTGAGTTATCTAAATTTACACTGAACAATTTGATGTAATTATTTTTTTAACATTAATTTAAATGATCTGCCAGATTATCCATTAGGCTATTTTAAGGTTAGTAGATAATTAAATATAAAACAATTATTTAATTATTTACTAGCCTTCAAATAGCTTGATAGATAATCCAGCAGATTGTTTAGCAATACAAATAAATTAGGTTGTTTATGTTCTACAGTAATTTAAATACAAATTTTAAGAAGAATAATGGAAAGTTCAATTTATTTGTCTGATTTTCAGATTAATCAGATTTTTTTAAATCCTTAGATTAAATCCCTGATATAAACTTACAAAATATGTTTAAGGATTTGGTTTTAATAAAGGATTTTGTAATTTTAAATATGACTATTGTATATGTAATAGTTTAACTGAAATTATTGTAAAATCACTTACAATAATTTCATTGGAATTGAAATATTGTAAAATCACTTACAATAATGAATATTTTAATAATTCAGCATGGCGTTACCATGCTGAATTATTAAAATATAAATATAAAATGTTCACGAACACTTTCAGTAACTTTAACTGAAATATATTAACCATTCATATATTAATTTATTTAAAAAAAATATACAAGGGCTATACAAAACAAAAATTTTTTTTCTTAATTTTAGAGTAAGAGTTTAAATTTTTTCTAAAATCGTATTTTGCTTTCAAACCCTTAAATTTTCTTATATTAAGTGTGGAATATGATATCTGAGAAATGTGGACCTTGAGCATTTGAAAAGTTGGATCTTTCTCATAACCTTTTCTACTACATTTTGCAATATTTCTGATGTTATGGTTTTAATTTTATGTTGACTATGGTCCTTTAAGTGTTGCAAAATGTTTGGATTATTCATTAAACCTTTCCCTTTAGATATCTCTATAAGAAAAATTCAGTGTTGTCAAATCAAACAATCTCACTTGCTATGAAAAAATTATCATATCAGGAAACTAAACAATCTAGAAAGATCTTCATTAGGATCTGAATTGTTTCTTGCACAATGTAACAAATTTCACAATGCTCTTTGCAACTGAAAACAAGTCATTGACAGAAGTTTTTCATTAAAATAAAGGGGTTTGTTCAGTTGATCTATTTTGATTATATCTATTATAATAAATCAGTTGATTTATTTTGCACCATCCTGTATTAGAAAATCTTTGTTTTTAAGATATTTATATCATAAAAGTTAGCAATATGTTGTAAAAACAGAATTTTGAAGTTTAACTTTTTCTAAATTAAAGACATGATATCCCATGCAATCCCATATATATATATA